ACCCACTGCCCATATATGATCATAAAAATCATTGGACAGTCCTCAACTGTAATCACCCCAGTATTTGTCTAGAACAAATACTGAAAATGCTGGAGAAACTTACCACATCTGTCAACATCTATGGAGGGAGAAACGGAGTTAGCGTTTTGAGTGCAGGATGACACTTCTTCAATTTTTTATGTTTGTTTCAATGATAGTTACTCGTTGCCCTGTAATACAGATCTGTTCTTCCTAAATATCCTGCAAGTGGATCTGAGAGGTGCCATTGTGGTCATGAGGGGTTGGCAAATGTCGAATACCAATAGACTGCAGATGCAGCTGGTGCCCTTGGACCATGAGTTGAGATGATTCTTGGTGGTAAACAACATGGAGGCTTTTCACAGCCAGCAGTGAGCTAAGCCACCAGTACCTGCTCTGACTCCCATGTCGAGATTTCTTGACATCTGCTTTGATCAGCATACTTGGTAAGATAATTGAATATTAATGAAGTGAGTCGCCATAGATTTATAGAGTTTTTTCGCTGCATGGAAAGAGGCCCTTCAGCCCATTGTCTCTATGCTAATCATCAAACAGCAAACCATTCTAATCCCAATTTCTAGCATTTGGCCCATTGCCTTGTATGCTATTGCATTTGAAATGCTCATCTAAATCATTCTTAAATGTTTTGAGGGTTCCCGCCTCTACTACCCTTTCAGGAAGTGAGTTCAAGATACCCAACACTCTGGGTGAAAAAATGTTTCCTCAAATCCCCTCTGAAATTCTGCTCCTTAATTTAAAACCATGCGCTAGATTATTGACCCCTCTACTAAAGGAAAATGTTTCTTCCTATCTACCCTGTCTATGCCCGTCAAAACTTTGTACATCTTAATTAAATCCCTTCCCAGCCTTCTTTTTTCTAAGGAAAACAACCAAGCCTATCTAGTCTTTCTTTGTAGCTGAAATGCTCTAGCCCAGGCAATTGGTGAATCTCTTCTGCACTTTAGCTAGTGCAACCATATCCTTCCTAAAGCATAGGGACCATAACTACACACTGTTCTCCAGCTGTGACCTAACTCATATATAGCTCTACCAAACTTTCATGGTCTTGAGTTCAATGCCTTGGCTAATAAAGGCAAGTATCCCATATAACTTACTAATCTGTCCTGCTTTCTTCAAGGATCTATGGCATGCACACCAAGATTCCTCTGATCCTTTGTACTTCTTAGGATCCTACCATTCAATGTGTCCTCCCTTGCCTTGTTCGTCCTTCCAAAATGCATCACACTTTCCAGGACTAAATTTCTTTTGCCACTGTCAGCCCATCTATATCATCATATGGGGAGTTGAGGCTGAGATGGAGTCAGCAATGATCACATTAAACGGTTTTTGGGGATAAACTGCCTACTTCTGCTCCTAGTTTTTGTATTCTTAGCTTTCATTGTTTAAGGCTTTCCATCACCTTTTACCATACCAACAACTATTGCATCAAGTATAAATGTGCTGATCATATCTCTTACATTCATGTCCAGCTCATTAATGTACACTACAAACAGCAGGGAACCAGCATTGAAACCTGTGCTACACCAGTCACAAAAACAACCTTTAACACACCCTCTGCTTCCTATCACTATGCCAATTCTAGATCCAATTTGTCAAATTGCCCTGGATCCCATGGGCTCTTAGCTTCTTGACCAATCTAACATGTAAGACCTTGTCACAAGTCTTACTAATCTCCATGTATACTATATTAACTGCATTACTCACATCTAGACATTTAGTCACCTCCTCAAAAAATTCGATCAAATTTGTTAGATGTGGTCTTCCTCTTACAAAGCCACGATGACTGTCCTTGATTAATCCTTGCCTCTCTAAGTGAAGATTAATCCTGTCCTTCATTACTTTTTTCCAATAGCTTTTTTACGTACATTTAAAGCTGATATAGATAGATTCCTAATCAGTAGAGGAAGGGTTACGGGACAGGGCAGGAAAGTGGATGTGATCATTGTTGGATTAGCCATGATCCTATTGAGTGGCAAAGCAGGCTCAAGGGGCCAAGTGGCCTACTTCTGTTCATATTTCCTATGGTCTTACATGATCTTACCCAAGGAACCTTCTAAGATAGTATTCCTCCTTACTACAGTAATTGACTCCTTGATCAATATAACAACACCACCATCTCTTTTACACCTACTTACCCACTATCTTTCCTACAGATTCTATACTCCAGAATACTGAGCTGCCACTCTTGTCCCTCCCTCATTCATAACTCCACAAGACTTGACTATATACTCTATACCTTCCAGACTAACTTTGTTTTTCCTCCATACTGATCTATGCATCCCCTCTACTGTTCCTCTACTCTGTATCCGATCCCCCTGCCAAATTAGTTTAAAATCCCACCAAGAGCTCTTGCAAATCACCCCCAAACCTGCAAGGATATTGGTCCAGATGTAACACATTGGATTTGTACAGGTCCCACCTTCCCCACAGAGATCCAGTGATATAGGAATTTAAAGCTCTTCCTCCTGCACCAACTCTTCAGCCATGCATTCATCTGCTCAGTCCAACTACTCCTATATTCAGTCACACATGGCACTGGGAATAATCCAGAGATTACAACCGTTGAGGTCATGCAACACAAGGGATTGAGCTCCTTTGCCATACCTTTAGTTAAAATCTTAAATGTAAGTATTTAAGTCTCTTCTTTTTAAAATTTAAAACAAAAGCTAGAACTCTTATCAGGTATCCAAGTCAGAGGGGAATGCAAACTGAAGAGGAAAATTAGAAGCTAAAAGAGACTTAGACAGTTTAAATGAGTGAGCAACAAGATGACAGACGAAATATAACGTGGAAACATGAGGTCAAGCACATTTTCATAAGAAAAGAAAACACAATACGTTTAAAAGGTATGGAACATGTAAATGTTGATGATCAGAGAATCTTGAGTATACAAGGGTCCCCAATTTATGAATGATTTTTGAACACTCGTATTTATTAACATAATCCCATACAGGGGTGTAATCTGACATCTGAACATTTCCTGTATTTACGAATGGCTACTTTATATTGTTTTGCATTGTGTTCTGATTTGCACACAAATCGACTTGCAAATGGACTCAAGAAGAGAACCTGTTTGTAACCCAGGGACTGCCTGTACTTGTTCAACGAGCACAAATAGTTACCATGCAAGTACAACAAGCAATTAAGAAAGAAAATAGCATGTTGGCCTTGGTTGCAAGGGGAGTGGAGTACAAAGGAAAGACATCTTGCCACAATTATGTGGATCTCTGGTGAGACCACACATAGAATTCTGTGTGAAAATTGTTCTCCGTATTAAAGAAAGGTTTTATTTAAACTGGAGCCAGCACAGTGAAGGTTCATTAGATTGGTCCTCGAGAAGAAAGGTTTGTCCTATGATGTGAGTCTGAGGGTATTTTTTTTGGCAAAATTGGTGTTTATTTTCTGGAGTTAAGAAGATGCGAGGTAATCACATTTAAATGTTCAAGGTTATACAGGGGTTTGAAAGGGTAGATACAGAGATGTTTGTCCTGGCTGGTGAATCTACAAAAAGGGAATACAGTTTCAGGAGAAGTGACTGATCAATTAGAACTAAGATGAGGAGAAATTTCTCCACTCCAAACGGCTGTTGATGCTCCATCTTTGGAAAGACTTAAGGCTGAGATAGAAAGACTTTTGATCTCTCAGGATTTTGCGAGCAGGTGGAAAAATGAGTTTAAGTCAAAGGTCAGCAGCGATACTATTGAATGGCAGAATGGGGATGAGCTGAACGGTCTTATTCCACTTGTTCTTCTTCTGTATACAAATCTTTATTGCTTCATTTGCCAGTAATACACATGGTGAAAGTCTAAAGCCCCAATATCAATCCTTGGAACATATAACTTGTCAAAACTCACCAATCAGACTAGATTGCATTTATCACTACTGTCTTTCTCCCACCTCTTAACAAATGTTTAACCAACTAGATGACCATGAATTGTATGCCTTCTGGAAATTCATATAAACAATATTGATAATCATTCTCTTATATGATATTAAATCAAGGCTATCAGGTGGTAAAAAAACAGCACAACATATAATATATGGAAAAATAGCAGGGGAGCTCTCCCCAGTGGCCTGTCCATTATTTATTTCCCAACCAACCTAACTAAAAAGCAGACTATCTGGTCAGTATTACATTGTTGCTTCTGGGAGTTTTCCTGAGTACAAAGTGAGTGCTTCCTATTGCAACATTGACGACACTTTAAAACTACTCCATTCTGTATTATAAGGGGTTAAGTCTGACTGTTTAATATGCTGTGATGCAATGTCACATGATCTTACGCTGTCCTGCAGCCTTACTACAAGATGTAGTGAAAATAACGTTTCCTAAATAAAGTTAATGTACATCCTCCAACCGCCCCAGTTACCTGTTATCCATGATGCAAGAAAAAACACTGCTAGAAATTGTCCTGCCAAATGCCACTTCTGTGAAAAGAATGTTTGCTTCCAAGATTTATGAAATAGAAGATATAAATGATGTGGAGCAGCAGTTTCAGTTCTTGCCGATTCTGAGTTGTAATTAGAACAAAGTTCTCCTCAGCCATCATGCAAAAAATAATTAAAGACCTAAAGCTATAAAATTCAAGGTCATGGGATAACTGAATGTAACCCACAAATATAAAGAAAGAAAAATTACAAAACCTCGTGTGTGATACTGAATCAGAGATTTGTGCATAGGGAAAGTGGGGAGAGATGTAGTACAAAGGGTTAGTTTTGACTGTGAAATGCTAATAAGACAGCACACATCATTATGGGAAATGATCCAATATCATATGATTTTGCTCTCTTCTGAAGTCTGTTGACAAGATGAGCCATAGCGAGATGTTTCTCAAATAGACTTAATGTTTTTCTTATCTCAGCACAGTCAATAACTGTTCTTTAGCAATACAAATCAAAATTATTATACATGCTAGAAAATATCTCAAGAAAAAACAACAAAATGAATCAGACATGATCCAAAATAATCCATGCTCTTCCCTTTAATCTACTGATAATTGTCCAAGTTCATAGTCAATCTGTTTTTGTTTCTGAAGAAAGGTCTAGGCCCGAAACGTCAGCCTTCCTGCTCCTCTGATGCTGCTTGGCCTTCTGTGTTCATCCAGCTCTACACCTTGTTATCTCTGTTTTTGGTGATAGGTTAACATGAATTTTGAAGAAGTTACTGAAATGTAACAGTTCTGTAATTCTGGATTTCTCATTCCTTCCATTTTTTGCAGTGGAGTAATACTTGCAAATTGTCGATCCAAGTGCCCAGTTCCTGAATCCATCTTTCATGCCGAATATCTGCATTTTTAGGCAAAATATTTACAGAATTAGTGACTTGGGGTGGTATTCTTTAATCAGAAGGTTGCAAATTCAAATTTCACTCTAAAGACTTTGGTCATAAATCTAAGATGACACTCCAATGGAGTAATGAGTGATGTTCTGAAGGACAAAATATTACCTTAGTGGTAGAAGATTGAACCCATGGCACAATTTGAATAAGAACAGGGGAGATAGTTATTTGTCCAAAATATATTCCTAATTAACATGACAGAAAAGCAGATTATCTGGTAAATGTCATATTGTTGTATGTATGTTTATTTTCTGTGCTTATTATTGGCAACCGTGCCTACACTTTTAAAAAGTACTCCATTGGCTGTAAAACATTTGGGTCCACCTAAGCACATAAAAAGTTCTAGATCAATGCAAGTCATTCTTTCAATGTATTTTTTCGTTCAGAAAATTGTACCTCAGCTTGATTTTCACATGTTTCTTTCTCCACCCTAACACACTGCTTGGACAAGGAAGTAAACAAACATTGGCCTTACTGCGTTAGATACGTATGTTATTTGTGAAAGCAGTCTGGAGTGACTCATCCTTTAACTATTACCTCCTCCCGTCTGGAAACAGCATTAATTGTACCTAGTGCATCTGCCAAATGAATTTAAAGGTGTGTGCACAAATCAAAGTTCTGCAAATCTTGCAAGGAAAAAGGCTGGGACTCAAGCATATATAAAAAAGAAGTTTGACTAAATGAGGTTTCAGAAGTAACGCAATATTGATTCAGTTGGTGCAGTTTTTAAAAATGTATTCATGGGATGCAGGTATGACTGGTTAGTTCCCATTGCCCATTCATAATTGCACTATAACTAAGTGACTTGCTGGGCCATTTCAGAAGACACTTGACAGTCAACCACATTGCTGTGGGTCTGGAGTGACAAGTGGGCCAGACCTGATAATCGTAACAGATTTCCATCCTTAAAGGATATTAGTGAACCAGATGGGTTATTATACAATTGACAATAGTTTCACAGTCGCCATTAGACTACCTTTTAATTCCAGATTTTATTGAATTCAAATTCATGTCTATATAACATTATTCTGGGTTATTAGTCCAGTACATTACACTACACCACCATCACCCCTAGGCTGAGTAAGAAAGATGTGGGTTAACCTTCAATCTAGCAGCCAAGCACATGACTTAGACTGACAGTGAGATACTGAGGATTTACCAGATTTCAAAGATGAGTCTTCTGAAGAAATGTTAAACTCAGACCTATCAAGCTATTTCATTGGGTCACGTGGATCTAAAGAAAAACCCATTCAAAGAACAACAATTAGTTTTCCTGCTGTTCAGCCAATATTACATCCTTAAACAACACCATCAAAATATTGACAAAATTAGTGGCCTGGGACAGTATTCTTGCCATAAGCAGAAGGCTGCATATTCAAATCTCACTCTAAAGACATGGTCATAAATCTAAGATGACACTCCAACTGAGTATTGAGGGAAGGGAATCAAGCACATTCTGAAGTGCTGTCTTGTGGACAAAATGTTAACTAAGGGTTCCAAGTGGTAGAAGATTGAACCCATGCCACAATTTGAATAAGGATAGGGGAGATTGTTATTTAGCCAATATTGTTATTTAGCCAATATATATTCCTAATTAATATGACTGAAAAGCAGATTATCTGGTCAGTGTCATACTGTTGCATGTGTGATTATTTTCTGTGCTTGCTATAGGCAACCATGCCTATAGTTAGTAATTCACCTAACTTACTGTGTGCAAGCTAACTGCTGCCCACTTACCATCAAGTCAGGGAGCACATTCAAAAAGTGCATATCTTGAAAGACACGATGCTCTTATATAAACTATATTCTTCTGAAATAGATGAAGTCAATTTCAAGGCAGTTGCTGAGTAAGTGGGGAACCAAATGAAAACTCTTGTGCTACAACAGGAAGCAGCAGAAGTTCATGCCTCAGACAACACATTTTTTGACCTTTTCAGCACATTGATCCACGCAGATTAATATGGTTGCACTAAGCTTCACTCCCATGGTAGCTAAAGCAAAAACTACTATAAGTGCACTTTCACAATAGGCATTTGAGAATAGTGAATGTTATAGCGAAAGGAATGCTGAACTATTTTAAAAGAAACTTGAAATATACAGATAGAAAGGCATATATGGCTATGATTAGCCTGGTAGCTTTCAAGAGTTTCCCTTAAGTAGACTGTCACAAAATTCAACTAAAATTCTTCCTTATCCTGGAGATGTATTGAATGGCATCCATACCCAGAGTCACGAAATGGAGATTTCGACTCACCCAAATAATAACATGAAATATTCCCAATCCATTAATAGGTATTACCCTCAGATCATTTGCTGATCTGATTTAATTATCTGTTGAACTAGTCCTGAAGGTGAGATAGCTAAGCATCACGATCACCTTTATCAGGAGAGAACAATAAGCACTATTCTTTGGATTAGCTACTACACCAACACAAACGATTTACATTTTAAAACATCTTTAATGAACTGGAACCGAAAGAAGGAGCTCGAACAGTTCATCCACTTCACTAACACCTTCCACCCCAACCTTAAGTTTACCTGGACCATCTCTAACACCTCTCTCCCCTTCCTGGACCTCTCTGTCTCCATATTGGGCAACCACCTAGAAACCGATATTCATTTCAAGCCCACCGACTCCCACAGCTACCTAGAATACTCCTCCTCCCACCCACCTTCCTGCAAAAATGCTATCCCCTATTCCCAATTCCTTCGCCTCCGCCGCATCTGCTCCCAGGATGAGGCATTCCACTCCCGTACATCTCAGTTGTCCTCGTTTTTCAAGGACCGTAACTTCCCCTCCTCGGTGGTCGAGAACGCCCTCAACCGTGTCTCCCACATCTCCCGCACCTCATCCCTCACACCCCGTCCACGCAATAAGAACCAAAAAAGAATCCCCCTCGTCCTCACGTACCACCCCACCAACCTCCGGATCCAACGCATCATCCTCCGACACTTCCGCCATCTGCAATCCGACCCCACCACCAAAGACATCTTTCCCTCCCCACCTTTATCTGCTTTCCGGAGGGACAACTCTCTCCGTGACTCCCTTGTCCGCTCCACACTCCCCTCCAGCTCCACCACACCCGGCACTTTTCCCTGCAACCGCAGGAAGTGCTACACCTGCCCCCATACCTCCTCCCTCACCCCCATCCCAGGCCCCAAGAAGACTTTCCACATCAAGCAGATGTTCACCTGCACATCTGCCAATGTGGTATACTGCATCCGCTGTACCCGGTGTGGCTTCCTCTACATCGGGGAAA